ATAATTAATTATAGCCTAATAAAAAAATACTCTTGTAAGTTAATTATAATAATAGCTTAAAAATATAATTTTTATTAATTTAGGGCAGGCCTTTTTTATTACTAAATAGCGCAAAAAAAAAAAACTTTTTTTTTATAAAGGTATTATTTATATACCTCCCGTGCCTGTGTTGCAACATAAGATTATAAAATAATATTATAATAATTTTTATGCAGGCTATTTTAGCTATAAAAAAATTATTAAATTACTTACTTGTAAGTTTTAGTGGGAAGAGCTTAATAAAAATACGCGTGTGTATATTAAAAAATATTTCTTATACTAAAGGTTTAAGGTTCCAAGGTAGTTGCCTTAAAAAAGTTTAATATTTTTTTTAATACTAAATACGCTATAAAAAAATATTTTTATAAACTTTATTATTAGCTTACCTTTATTAAAGTATAAAGGGCGCGTTTATAACATAATTTTAGTAATTATAAATTAGTTTAGTAAAAAAGTAAAATATTTTTTTACTACTAATAAAATTACTGCGGAAAAGTTAGCTAACCTATTTATTAAAAAAATTATATATAATACAGGGTCGCCCCGGAGCATAATAATAAATTAAGGTTTACTTTTTACTTTAAAGTATTAAATAGCCTTTTATTAAGTGCTATATATTAAGTAATAACTTAGTATAGTATACCATTTTTAATTAAATAGTTAAATTAAGCGCCAGAACCAAACACTTAAAGTATATTTACACGTGTATTATAATTATTAGTAAAGTAATTAAATATTATACTTACCACTGGCACGCTTTGCCTATAATAACTTAAAAAATAACTTAACCGGCTACGCTTTGTTTATGGTAAGCTATAAATAAAAACTAATAATTCCTGGACTTAAGGACCTGGGGGAATTAATATTTTATTTTTTTATTAAAAAGTGCTTATGCTATTTAAAATAGCTTCGCAAGAATTTATAGGATTATGTAAATAAGGTGTAAAAAAAACAAGTGCTTTACCATAATTAAAAATATTATTTAGTAGAATTTAAGGTTAAAGATAATATTTTAGTATTTTTAAAAAATATTAAATTAATACGTTTAAGCAAAAAACTTAACCTAAAGTATAATAAACCCTTTAAAATTAAATTTATTATTAAAAAGCAGGTATATTAGCTCCGGCTTACTAGTATATATAATTAGTTAAAAATTTATTTAATATTTTATATTTTTTTTTTAAAGCTATTTATATAGCAAGATAAGCCTAAGAGAGAAAAAAAGTAACTACTAACTATAAAGTTAGTTAATAAAAAGAAAGAATAGAAAGTTAAGGCTATCCTTAAAAAATAATAAATTTATAAATATAATAAATTTTTTATTAAGTAAAAGGGCTGGCCTAGCTATAAAAATTTATAAAAACTATTTTTTAATTTTAAGCATGCACAGGAAGCCCTAGTAAATTATAAAAAACTAGCTATAATAATACTAGTCCACCGCTGGTTTAAAAAAAAAGGTAATAACCTTATTAAATTAAATACCTTTTTTTTTTTTTTACTAGGTTTTAAGGTTTAATAAACCATTAGTATTATTAAAAAATTATTAAACTATTACCTAATTATTACTAGTTACTTATAGCTTTGGAAAGGGGTGCAAGATTTTTTATTTTATAAAGTTTTAAAATTATACCCAAGGCCATAAGTAAAGTAGTTATTTTTTTTATTTTTTTATAAGGTTTTAAGGTTTAACAAACTACAGCCGGAACACCACCGGCTTGGTATTAAAACTTATTTTAAATTATAATTTAAAATAAA